CGGCCCCCCCCGGCACCCGGGAGGGCCGGGTCCCTGCCAGCCTCAACTACACGGTGGGGTCCCCCCACGCGGCGGCCGCCTGCAGCCAGCCGGAGTGCGGGGGGGGCGGCAGTCAGTCCATCACCTCCCCGCTGCCGGCCAACATCCCCTCACCCTCCTTCAGCAAGTTGCCTTCCACCAAGGCCAGCAAATCTTCCCGAGCCCGGGAAGCAGTCGGCGGGACGGATCCGGATACCCGCAAACGGAAGCCCCCTCTGGCCGCCGGTGGCCCCCCCTATAAACGGACCTGTTTGGGGGACGGGGTCAAAAGCAAAAACACCGGCTGCCAGGTTTCGGCCCCCCCCGGCAAGACGAAACCCACCCCTCCGGGTTGCCCGGCTTCTTCCTCCACCGCTGTCCTCAATGGTGCAACGCGGGTGAAACGGCTCGCCCCCCCGGACTGCCGCGGCCCCCCCAGTGCCGCTGCCGTGGACCCCCGAAGCTCGCCACTGCATGGACCGGGGTTGCCACTGCCCCCCCGTTGTATCTCCGAGGACGAGGTCAAGAAGCGCAAGAACGCGGCCACGTACTGCCGGCCTGTCAAACCCAAGCCTGCGCCCCCCCTGCCCGGCCCACTGCCACCCCCAGGCTCGGCCCCCCCCGACTCGGGCGGCTCTGTCCGCAGGAAGAAGCCGGGGACCCCCCTGGGCTTCGAGGAGAAGCGGAGCGCCCTGAAGGTAGGGCTGAGATGGGTGGGGGTTGTGTTGGGGGGGGTCCCTGCTGAGATGGGGGGTGGGAGTGGGTGTTTGGGGTGTTCCTGGGGGTGCAGAGCAGTGGAAGGGTGTGAGGCAGCAAAATGAGGAGCCCCCCCAGGGCTACCAGCACTCACAGGGGACAAGGTGGGACCCACCTTCTCCCAGGGCTTGGGGCTGCCTGTGTGCACCCATGAGGGACACCCTGGTCCTGGGGGGGGACACACCACAGGGATACCATGGCTCCAGGTGGGGGATGGCATGGGACCCTTCTGGGGATACCCATGCCCCAGGTGAGGAACACCATGGGGACCCTCTGGGTCCGCCCTGGCCTTGAGCAGGGGACACTGGGGTACACTGTGGTCTTGGGTCTTTGGGTCATGGGTGGTGGATGCAGTGGGGACCCTCTAGGGACACTGTGGCTCTGGGTGGAGGGCACCATGGGGACCTTCTGGGTACCTCCTGGCCCCAAGTAGGGGACACTGTGGTCTTGGGTCCTGGGACATCCTGGTTGTGGATGGTGGATGCTGTGGGGACCCTCTGGGGACATCCTAACCCTGGGTGGGGGAGGAGGTGGGGACCCTCTGGGGCCACACTCATCCATGGCGGGGGATGCTCCCTCTGGGGACACCCTAACCTGATCAGGGGACACCGTGGGCCCGGGGTCTCCGCCACCCCCCTGTTCACGGGGTCAGTCCCCACGGCTGACCCAGCATCTCCTCTCCCGCAGTCTAAAGCCCATTAACAGAGGGGCCACCGGGGCCACCCCCCCACCGGGCACAGGTGTCCCCCCACGTCCCTCCACCATGGGCGTGAGGAAGCCCCCACCAGAAAATGCTGAAAAGCTGATGGGGGGCGGGGGAAAGCCCAGAACCCCGTAAAGGAAACAAAAAGAAGAAGGAAAAAACCAACCTCCAGAAAAATACCTCAAGACTCTCAGTTCTGTTCTCTTGCTGCTAAACCAGCCCCCGGGAGAGGAGGCGGCTGCGGCTGGGGGAGTCCCGGCACAGGACTGGCCACCGGGCCACCACGGCGGCTGCTGCCGGCCGCGGATATTTATAAGAATTACTATTGCTGTTTTTTGTTTCTTTTTTTTTAAAAAAAAAGAAAGAAAGAAAAAAAAAGCCAAGTAGTGCAGAAGGTGGGGAGGGGGCCTGGCTGTGTCCTGGGGGTCCCCGTGGTGTTTGGGGACTGTGGGGTGTCCCCAAAAGCCCTGCGAGGGCAGAGCAGGGGCTGGGGTGTCCCCAGGTCGCGGGGGAGGGGGCAGGGCTGGGGTGTCCCCCCAGGGACAGGGATGTCATCCCGGTGGCCCTGGCTCTCCCCGCGGGGACGGGGACGGGGAGGGGGTGTCCCAGGAGCCCCGCAGGGACGGGGGGCGGGGGGGGCCGCCCCCCCCCCCCGCCATCAGTGTCCTCTGCGGACCGGCAAGCCCCGCCCACCCTCCGCATGGCCACGCCCCAGCAGGTAAGGCCCCACCCC